TAATTTCATATACTCGTTCTATATTAGCTCCCCCAATTTTCAATTGAAGTTCATTATCTAGTCTACGATTCCCAAATACCATAAATTTAGTATTATCCAAATTCAGAGATGGTATATTACTATCACACCATTTCTTTATCTTCTCAAGTTCCTGTGTAACCCGTCCAGAGAGTTGCTGTGGGTTTCCACCCGATGCCCATATGGTATCCTTTACTAGAGTGTTCAAGATTTGTAGCTTATTTACACCGTTACTAAATAAAACAGCTCTCCACGACAAGGTGCTCTTCGTGAACAGAATGAACAAGTACTTTCATATTAGAGTAAAGTGAGGCAAATGAACACTAAATGCGTCAGCGGATTTACATGATAAAAACATTCACAGTCATGAGACTGAAAACCTAATGAGACAGTTTTATGAAACATTTTATGAACATTAAGTTATACACAACAAATGAAAAATGTACATCTCAGACATTTTGTCCTCACATTTGTTATCCCTTCAGCTGAATATCCTGTCTGGTTTTTCCTAATCCAGGACCGGCCATGCTCTCATGGCTTTCATGTTGTCCCGCCAAGACGGGAAACTGAATCGTCAGCAGACCATGGAGCTGGGACATCACATCCTCAAAGCACACATCTTCAAGGTACAGCTACTTCACGTAATCTATACTTTCTCTACATTATGCAACCCTAGTCTTCTTGGAGGTTCACGCTGTTCTCTCTGCTTGTACATCGTGACTAAAGTTCACCAGAGGACGGGATGGTCCATGGTCCCCCACCATGTAATTCATTGAATTCTAGGGATATAGCTTGGTTTAAGGATAGGATGAGGTTTAGGCAAGTAGTGGGTAGGTCTCCAGGAAATGGATGCAAGTCGACGTAAAGTCCCCATGAGGAATGAAAACAACATGTGTGTGTGCGCATGTGTGTGCAGGGCCTGAGTAAGAAAACAGGCGTGTCATCCAGTGTGCTGCAGGCTTTGTGGATCAGCTGCAGTGCTGATGGCCTTTCTGCAGCTTTGGCCTCCCTGAGGAACCTCTACACGCCCAACGTCAAGGTAAAGATGTGTGTTACTCAGACCTGAAACCTTATCAGCACGTCAGCTGATTAGATGGTGAAAACAGAAAATAAGTCATGATCATTTTGAAATGCCAGACATTTACTGCTTGCAGCTCCTCAAATGCAGAACCTTGATTTCTCAGCTTTCAGTCAGTATACTGTAATTAGTGCTCTCTGTTTTGTTCGATTGTAGGCCAGACAGAATAAGCAATTTGAAGATGTCTCTCTGGAAAATGATAGTTTATGACAGTTGCTTATTATTTTTGATGAATAAAGAAAAAAAATCTATAGAGGACTTGATCATGAAAACAATCTTTATGTATACTGTATAATTCCAGCTCAAACATATAAATACAAACTCCACATGGTGACAGTCTTTACACTTTACGTTTCTGATAAGTTCCCTAAAACTATCAAATCACACTTCATGATGATTAGTACACAGAGCGTTTGATTGTGAGTTCTGTGGATCCAAAATGTCTTCCCTGAGTGTCTTTTGTACCTCCACAGATGAATTATAATAAATGTCACACTCTGTTCCTCACTGACACTTCAGAACAGCCTATTAACAATAACAAAACCACTGTGAAAAGCAGCATAAAGATGCTCATCAGCTTAGACTGATGCGTTCTGCTTTTTCTGTAAGGCCAAAACCAAATGCCATTAACAGGTGGACAAAGGTGTAAATCAGTCAGCGTGAGTTACATCATTTAAA